CCTACAGTTCATCAGGACAAGGGAGACAGCCTGTGAAGAGGCTCCAGGCACAAGAGAGCTTGTCCAGGAAAACTTCAAGTATGACTGGAATAGACTATGAAGTTAGCCCAAGGAGAAGCCAGAGGGGCATATATCCTTAGGGTCCTGTTACTGCTTTTAGAGAAAGATCTTTACCCTGGAAGCTATGGACTAAAAAGACAGCAAGAAAATCAGTTAACAAGTGAAATGTAGTACTATGCACAGATGGAGACTCAAACTGGCCATTATATTCCAAAATGCATTTCAGAAACCTAAAGACTGATGTCCTCATCTCCAACCTCTCCAACTGTGTCTATATTGTCAATTACTTTGTGCTCCCATTTACCACTCTCCCAAAGCTATCTCCTCTTGGAACATGTACATCTGTATCTGTTTTGTAGAGAAAATAGAGACTGTTAGGAAGGCAACTTTCATGTTAGCTTGCTGTTATTGCAGCTAGAAATCTATCAGAAGCTATGTTACTATTAATACTTAATTCTTTTTTTCCCACTTTAGTGGAAATGGCATCAGTTTCTCTCTTCAAGTCTCATTTCCCAACCAGAGCTCTAAATTCTCATCTAAGCTTACCCTTTTTATTACCTCTTTTTCCTCTTAAAATAAGCCCCTCTACAATCCCACATCTCTCTACTTATCAGTTCTTTTATACTCTCCTGCTTCTTCATTAATGAACTCCTTTGCTTTCCTCCTAATTCTACTATGCTTTACTCCATAGTAGAATTAGCTTTGTAGAGACACAACTTTATTGAACCATTCGTATCAAGTATAGTGAATGTATTCATAAGTGCCTTAATTTCCTGGTATGATATGACCCTTACATTGCACATTCTTTTTTTAAAGAAATGAATGATGTATTTAACTTATTTTTATACGCTTTTGTCATATCTAGTGATATCATATGAGATCCCCCCCCTTTTTTTTTTGCAAGAACATTAGAAATTCAGTAGATTCATTGAGAATTGAAATGTCCATTAGTAGTCACAGGAATGCTGAAAAAATATTTTAGTATTATCAATGGCCAGATATTATATCACTTACATATAAATCAGCAGGTACTTTAAGGATAACATTATAGTTTTCCTTTGGAAACATGTTTTTTTCTTCAATCAATTTTGATGAAACATTTAACTAAAAAGAAATTGTACCAGTGTGGCAGAGCTCAACTCAACCTAGGTCCTGGCATGAACACTCTTGTGCATTTCTCTTCCCTTGGGTAGGGGCTTGGATTATCAACTCAGTCACATTAAATGGAACAAGACACACATTATGAGATATCACTTCAGGGGTTAGGTTATGAAAAATCCTGGGCATGCATTCTCTCTCTCTTATTAATGGATTACTTGCTTTGAAGAAAGCCTGCTGCCATGTCATGCGACAGCCCTGTAGAGATGTCCAAATGGTGAGGAATTGAGGGAGGCCTCCAATCAACAGCCAGCAAGAAATCAGTATCTATAGTCCAATCTCTTGTGGGAGCAAAGCCTGCCAAAAATCAAGCAAGTGGGCTTGGAAGTGTATCCTCCCCAAACTGAGTCTTCAAATTATAGCAGGGCCCTTGTCTGAAAACTTGACTACAACCTTAGAAGAGACCTTGAGCCAAAGGCACTCAGCTGAGCTATACTTGTATTGACCCACAGCAACTGTGAGATAATAAATATTTATTGTTTTAAGTCACAAAAGTTTGGGGAAATTTGTTATACTGCGAATAAGTAATGCAACATATTTGATTTTGGTTCAAAGAGGAAACTCTCTTCTTAGTAGGTATTGCTCATTTCTGTATTAGATAATTCTGAACCTTCTCAATGGTATACCGTCCTTTTAGTCACAGTTAGAAGTGCAAGATTTATTTACAATTACTCAAGAAGTTATAAATTTAATTAGGCTATTAGAAATTCAAGACAAGGCATCTTTGAACCTGGTTTCCAAAAGAATGACTAAAACTGAAAATACAATTTGTAAAGCCAGTGACTATAAATGCCTCTTGAGTTTACAGATGAATGAAAGTCTGAGAATAATATATGCAAAGAGGGAATGTTTTAACTACCAGCAGATCTCTCTAATGAACTATCTCATCTAGTTTTAACTGATTACTCAATGTCTGGAACAGGTATTTTTGCCTAGATTTTACTAAGGAGCATGCCTGCAGCTTGCTGAGAGGAACCCAAGTAACAGACCTGATTCCCCGCCTGCAACCTTCAATCTGATGAAGCAAAGAAATGACACAGGGGTCAAAATATAAATGTTTGCCAAGAAATGGAGAACTGTCCTCCTAATTTGCCCTTATCCCAAAATAATCAGAATAAAACTAGCAGAACATCAACTGGACATCCATTGACAATAAAGAAGATAAGAAGTTAAAAGTATATTACAATGATGTATTAAAAGTATTTTTAAAGTATTTTTAAAATTATTTTAAAATAAAGCCCTAAAATCTAGTCTTATAAATAAGGTGAACATATTTTATGACTTAAAGTAATTCAAAATATTGGTCTTGGAAATATTTATTTAAAAATCAATTAAAATATGTGATCCAATGTAAATTGGAAGATGAGAAGGAACGTACATGAAATATATTCACAATAAAGAGGAAATAGAGTATACATTATTGACAAAAAGGAAGAATTAGAGTTGAGCTAATCCTATATTAGTAATAATATAGTAATCCCACAATAAATAAAATGGTTTGGCAATTATGCGATTTGTTTCTTTTCGTTGGTTTTTTAAGTGATTCCCAGTTTTCCCAGTTTAGATTTTGTTTCTGAATGATTTTTACCTATTTTTATGTTTTTTTTTTCCTAAATCAAATATCTCATTATGCTTTTTGCGGAAAAGTCTAATAACTCATGCCACTACTAAATAAATGTCACATACTTAGCTAGGCTTGCAAAAATCTTCCAGCAAGTATTCCTGTGCAGTAATAAAACAGGCAGACTCTGTCCACCTTCCCATGTTTGTATTATGGCTTCACTACTTAGCCATATGATGGGCATGGTAACTAAAGTTCTTTGTATTTCAATTTTGTTATCTATGAAACAGGATAATGATTTTAATAAGCACAAACGTTGATCATGAAAATTAAGAGAAATAATCCACAAAGTATCCTAGCCCACGATGAATACTTCATAAATGTCGACTATTACTTTATTATTGCTATTATTATTGCTTTTTCAGATTCAAAGTAACCTAAGATTATGAGTGTTTGCCATCTGGTTGAAGATACTATGTATGTTGCCTAATTTAACTTAAACTACAGCTTTCTGAAATAAGAGTTATTAGTCTCATTTTACAGATAAGGGAAACTAAGGTTCAGACATTTTAAGTGATTTCTCTAAAGTATTATAGTAATTAAGTGCTACAGCCAAGTTCCTGCCCAGGTCTCCTGATTTCAAGTATATAGTAGTTTAACTTCTCAAGAGCTTTCTGGCTGGGCACAATGACTCATGCCTGTAATCCCAGCATTTTGAGATGCGGAAGTGGGAAGGTTGCTTGAGACCAGCCTGGGCAACATAGCAAGAGACTGTCTCATAAATAAAAATGAAAATAAATTATAAAACAAAACAAAAAAAACTCGAGTGCTATTCATTTAGGCTTGTCAGTATACTGTGAAGAATACTAGTTAATACTGTTGGGTATGAGTTTGAATCCCAGCACAACCATTTACTTGGAAGTTCACACAAACTTCTTGAGGTTCAGTTTTCTCCACGATAAAAGATGGACAGTGACGTTCACTTTTACAGACTTAATTGAGAGTATTACTTAGCTTAAATAATATGGTGGCTGATATATATTATGTGTCCAATTGTATTAGTTTATATCATATATATTTATACTACTATTTTATTAATTTATATAAAGACACTAATGTAATCCTAACTTCTCAAATTTTACTTCCTTGTTACCAGTGCCTTAACCTTCCCTGTGCTAATCTCTGCTTATTGAAAACATACCCCTTTTGCATACCCAGAGAAATGCTCTCGTTTGTATTGATGCACTGACTCATTCCTTAACTAGATATAGATCCACAATCCCTGGTTCTAGCTCTATGCTTCATTATTCAGAATTTTGTCGTATGTTAGAAAGGTGAGAGATTATATCATTTATATTATGTGATATGTCCTGGAATGATGTGGAGTAGAATCCTATTATTAAGAAGAGTAACATTTTTGCTGCAAATGGTATAAATGTTCACATTCATTTGGATAGAGAATATAAATAGGTTCATATCAGTTCAGCTTATATATCAGGCTAACATGTAATGTCAAATAATTAAATTTTAAAAATTGATATTCAATTCTCAGGATTTTAGAATTGCAGATAAAGAATGGTAGACCTGCATGATCTTTTTCCCTGCAGAGTTTACTAGGTCTACTCTCAGTGTAATGTCATGCTCTATCTGGCACAGTTGTGCATCTAATCTTATCCTCTATTACTGCACAAGGTCTCTAAAGGAAGGAAATGTGTCTTTATCTTTGTATGCTGTGCAGGACCTAGAACATTCTAGGTGTGTGTTTGGCATACTTTAAAAACATGAAAAAAATCACACCAATATTTCAAATAGGTGGATGGTGCTAAAAATAGCTGTCAATATGGCAACGTGATAATGTTACTTTTCATCATGATTAATATGCATTCAATCACTATTGAAGCAAGTTTCTTTGGAAAGAAGCAGCCTAAATTATGCTATGTCAATTCTATGAGATCTGGTAAAGAATTTAACTAATTGATGGTCTACCTGATTTAGAATTCCAAAGGGAGGTAGGTGATGCTCTAAAATGTCAAATTCTAATCTAAGTTAGATGATGGGAAAAACTTCTTAGTATCTTATTTTGCAATTTGCAGATAAATCATTTAAAAAGTAAATTGTAGCATTCTTTGACCAAAAATCGTTTTAATGCTGTGTGTTTATGAACTTTTTTCTTCTTAGTTATCATTAATTTTATAAGAATCAGTAATTATTGCTATCTCACCTATATGTTGTCCATACATGTGATAAAAGAAGCTGAAACAATATGCAGTGTTTGTGGGTCCATAAGGGTTTTTGGGAGCTATGCTGAAAACAGGGCTGAGAAGTCGAGCCTTTTCGCCTTCCAATCTGGGTCGTGATGTCTCAATGTACATATAAAAACCTTAAAACAGACAAAATAAACTGTTTAAACACATTATTCTTAGGCATAATGAAATTTCAAATCACTGAGAAGTCTTATAGTTTTCATACAAAATAAAGATGGATAGGAAGATTTGCATCTCATTTATAAAATCTGTATGTGTATATGTAACTAATAGTGGCTTTAACACAAAGAGTAAATGATCTACCAAATTAAAGATAAAATGTATAAAAAGTTGAGGACAAATTAGAAATTTAGACTTGAATTATCAAAAAATTCCTCTTCTCTCTACTATACCTATCAGTGAGTTCTGAGAAAAAATTAATATCTACAAAGTTTTATAAATATCTAAATTGACAATGCATGGAAAATTTAATATTTTATTCCATAATCTTCAAGTATATGGCTAAATAATAGTATTTCATATTTATAGCAATTTTTAAAAGTCTCTGATTGCTATGAACACAACAGGTCATACCCTCATACCTTCTTTGGAGCCACTACGGTCAGCATTAGGTCCTGTATTAGGAGTATATTTTGTATTTCTTGTTGCAGTACTTTGTTTTGTCCAGTCAAAATTATCTGTATCATCTTGAGTGAACAAACAAATATTACCATCTTCAAATCCACAATGAAATTCTCCTGTTGATAAATTTTAATTAAATTAATACACATGCTGTAATATTTTCATAAGAAAAAATAAAATATTACATAGCAATAATAATGCAAGATTGTGATAATGGCATGAGAGCCATAATAGTGAATAAGATTACAACTAAACATAAAACCGATATTTAATATCTCATTGAATAATTTAATATCTCATTGAATAACCAAACAATTTTTCTATAAAATATCCAGATAACTCAAATTAAAGAATACAATTTATGCTTGAATTATTGCTGAAGAATTTTCCCAACTTTCATTTTGTCAGTACAGAACCAACCAAAACAAAACTGTCAATAGGAAAATTACCTTTATTAATTTACCTGAGGGTAGTTTTAAATAGGTATACTTTAAGTTTATAATTTTTCATGCATGTCTGGAGATGCTTTCAAATATCCATTTGCATAAATGGAAGTGTGTTTAGGGCAAGCTAATAGCAAATTATTTTGAAAAGTATTTATCCTTCCTACTTTATCTGAATGTGGGTTTCCCAGACACTTGAAATTCAGTATGGAAATGAAGTAATTAAAAGAGCTTTTAAAGACTTTGAAGAAGGAGTGTGATTTCTTGGATGCCTAACGTATGTTGAGTTCAGGGCCAACACAAGTTCAGAGAAAGACTTTTTCAGTTATCCCTGAAATGTGAGTGGTAGTAATGTTTCTAGGTATCAAAGGTTTTCTTACTGCTTGAAAAAACAGGTGTAAATAAAGAAGTTGATAAGGTCCACTAGATACATTATTAAAGAGTGTGTATCCTTGAGAAAAAATAAATGTAATGTATATTATTTCACTCAGCCTCATAACAACTCTATGAAATCACAATAATCCTTACTCATGAGGCTTCACAGAGGAGAAAACGCTGGCAAAGGTCAGCTATTAAATGATAAAGTCAAATGGAATCCAAATTCCCTGGAATTCATAGAGATATAAACACTTAAAGAACAGATACTTCCATTTTAATCTCTCTCCAACCTACCCACAAGGGGTTAGATTTATCAGATATCCTTGGAAATGGAGCCCTGGTTGAGATCATGTACTAATTAATTGAAAATTATTGGTACTTACAAATAAAAATAAAACAGAAGGCTTTCCCTATAGGAAATGAATTTATGTTTTGTTTATGTTTTTTAGACTAAATACTTGCTTTATCTCTTTGTATTTATTTATATTCTATATTCTGGGTAGGTCAGGTTACAGGAAATATACATATTTAAGGGAGTATAAATAAATAAATCAATAAATTTCCGACTAAATATTATACATAAAATATTTATTAGACACATATTTATGTCACAGACCTTGTACCAAACAAGACATAACCTTTTGATGCTATCAGTTGGAAAAATAATGTTGGTAACAGCAGTGTAGCAGTGTATGCATTTATATACATGCATGTATTTCTTTAACGATATTTTAGTTATGACATGAAATTCCATTAGTTGCTACTCTGGAGTTTTGAATTCTATAAAGGCAACGTTTGATTTTGAATGTTTTCAGTTATTTAATTACATATTACATATGCACAAAAAAGAGTTACAGAAGAAATGTAAAGATTAAGGATTTCAGTTTATATATCTACTGCCAAGTCTTCCTTTTTATATGTTATTAAAATTATGTATAATGAATTTTTATAACACTGTTGAACAATTGTTTTTTGTAATTTGAACTTGGTTAAAAAGAGAAAATATCTTGTCTTTAAAAACCATACAATACTTTTTGAGACTTAAATATTTAAATCTTTCATAGTAAAATTAAGCAATAATGCAGATTATGAAAACTACAAACAATGTCAGTTGTGCCTAAAAATTTTCATAGTTTAGGTTATTTTATATAGTGTAAGTTGTTTATAATATTATAACTAGTGTAATAATTCAAATCAAATAAAGATACTTAAGCAACATCAATAGCTCTTGATTCCTTCTAAGGACATATATCTTTACAATAAATAAACCTATTACTGAAGAAAATTCATAAAAAGTTGGCAGGTAAAATGAAAATGAAACTCACTAGTTAAAACCCAAGAATTTTATGATTGTCTTGTCACTTTAAAAAGAGACAATTATAAATATGTGCAAATACATTTAATCATTTAAAAAGTTTATTTGAATAAAGAATATCTGATAATGATCATGCAATGAGTTGTACAAACTTTTCAAAAGCCAATGTAATATAAAATACGAAAAGAGTTTATAAGTAGGAAAGTAATAAAGTCCAGGATTTTCACAAAGATGTAGAACTGAGAATTGAGTGGATCTTGAATTTTCCACTGGTTTTCTAATTTCAGCATGATTTTGGCGGAGTTTCTGGGGCTACATAGAAATAACTAAAGATATTTTAAATATTCTCCATTACATGGAGAATTTCTTCAAAATTTTGCTTTATCTGGTCTGCAGAATTTTCCCTGAATCCTTCCTAATATGATGAAAAAATAAAAATAAAAACTCAGGAATAAGAAGCCTGATACCCAGTGGTCCTTTTGCACCCAGAGACAACGCGATGCTCTTTAGTCCTTAAATTTGTAAAAAATCTAACCTTAAATTACAAATAAATAGCTCGGATTTTAGAATATGTCTTCATAGTAAATCCTCTGTTGATTAAAAATTATTTTCCAGGGAGAGATAAGTTTTAATATATGGGAATATTTTTCAGGTAGATACATATCATCTTATAACGTTTAATATAAAACAAAATAAAAATAACTTTCCAGAAGTCCCCAAATTTAACAATTTTACAGAATTCATAACCTAAATTAAACCAAATACATTGGGGTGTAAGCTAGTGTTCTATAAAAGAAAGTCTCAATTAAACCCATCAAACACCAACTTTCTAAGTAACCATACTCTTTTATAAGTGGAATATAAAAATTCAAAGAAGGAAAATCAAAGAAACGTGTAACAACAATAAAAATGATATGCAATCCCACAAAAGAAAAAAATAATCCCACAGCTGCAGAAATAGCAAGTATTAAGCAGGTTGGTAAATGGCTCCATATTTCAATATTTAGGAAAATCTATAAACCTCAATTATCAGTATTAAAAAATTTGTCTTTATACCCCTATCTTTTGAAATTTAAAATCTACATTTAATGCCAATGTTACTGATTCTGAACCATTGTGTTTTAAACCAACTAAGTTACTAAACAATCTTTGTATATTTATAAACATTCTATTTTTGTATTTATTAAATATAGTGCCTTTTTGTAAGTTAAAATATACTTACTCAAATGAGGATTTACAGGAGCTACAAGAAAAGCAAAAGAAACAAACAAACAAACAAAAAAAAACAATGTTAGCATGGCTCGAAAGTCTTTTATAAATAAAAGTCTAATCAGTGTCTCATAGTTCTTTACCAAAACTTAATGATCTTCCCCACTGTGGCCATTGAGATTTACATCTGCAATCCATTTTGTTTTAGAGGATTGAATAGAATCTGCTTTGGAGCTCAGCAATAACAGCCTCAAATTACCAAAAAGATCAATGCTAAACAGTACAGGAAATGTTCGTTTTTCAAGGTATAGAGTTTCTGACCTCTTAAATATCTGAACTAATACTAAACAAAAATATTCAGATATCAAAACTGAGGCTGACACTAGGCCAATCTATAATCTAGATGATTTAACAATGAAAACAATTATCTAGCAGAATTTCCCACTTCTGTTTTTTGCTGATTTCTACTTCTACTGAGAATAAAGCAGAAAGTTAAAGGCACATATGAAAATAAAGCAATCCTGATATGTTGTAATATGTGTACTAAAATGAATAGCTATGTCAATGCCTTTTTGTCTAATTACATTAAAATATACACATACATACACAGGAGTGCATGCACACAGAGTATTAAAATGATGAGCAACAGATTTTGTGTTCTGGGGTACCAAAAGAATTGTTTTTCCTAGAAAACTAATTATATTTGCAATACAAGTGTCAATGAATTTCCACCCAAAGAGAAACAAATACTTTAAATATAACTAACACATCAACAAAAGTATCTCTCATCTAAGGGCCAAAGTATCTGTATGTATAAATTAACCACTTATCATTCTGAGAAAATATTCCAATCTGGATGATAGAGAGCATTGATGTAATTCCCCAAGATTACAATGGGCAGAATTTAGTTTCCCAGGATTACAATGGGCAGTTAATCTACAGTGCAGAAGAACTTGTCATTTTTTTAGTGGTTGTCATTAACCACCTTTATTAAATTTGTGCAATACTAATAAAGTCTGATGGGCAAAAATATTAATATATAATTGTAACATTAATATACAAATGATAAATTTTAACAGAGTAAGTTTTTCAATGATTTTCACTATCCCTACATACAGAAGACAATTCCCATTACTGTAGTTGTTTTTGATTCTACATTCCACATTGCAAATTATGAAAAGAATAACATAGAAAAGGAGCTGAAAGTGAACTAAAAATAACAATTGAATTTTATGGCAAGATATCAATGTATTTTAATTTTAAAATTAATAAAAATTAAAATTATTTCACAGTTAATATGAAAATTTTTAAAAATTATGTGCTATCTTTCAAAGATGTAAGCATCCTTGAATTATAATTTAGTTCTAAGTATGTCATATGTACATGTAAAGCTCTTACCAGATTGAATTTTAATTGAGACTTCTCCTCCAACATTTTAGTCACCAAATTCACTATACAAAATGCAGTTAACTTTGTGAAAATTTGCAAATCTAACTTCTAAATATTGTGGCGAGTCCATTTTTTTCTTTTTTCATTTGAACTTGCATGTATAATTTTTTATAAATGCATATTATAGACTATTGTGTCCCCACAAAAATTCATATGTCACTGCTTAATCCCCAATGTGATTGTATTTGGGGATAAAGCCTTTAGGGAGGTAGTTAAGATTAAATTAATCTTGGTCCTAATCCAATTGGATTGGTGTCCTTATAAGAGGAGGAGGAGACACAGAGAGCTCTCTCTGACATGTGAAGAAAACACGGTGAAAAGGTGACCATCTATAAATTAGGAAGAGAGCTCTCACCAGAAGCTAACTGTGCCAGTGCTTTGATCTTGGACTTCTCAGTCTCTAAAAGTGTGAGAAATAAATCTGTGTTGTTTAAGCCTCGCACTATGATATTTTGTTATGACAGCTCAAACAGACTAGTACATTGCCTCTAAACCATTAAAGTATACATTGCCCAAACCTGTATTACGTATAAATGATTTTAATAACAATGTTGGAGATTTTAACATGTATGCCTAAGTATGTAAAAACAATTTTGAAAACTTATTAAAAGTAATATCTATTTTCCACATCTATTTTTCATTTTAGTTTGTTGCCTCAGAGTTTTCAATAACAACTACTGAGCTAATTAACTTTTTAAAATCTCTTAAGGAAAGTCATAATGATCAATTAACTTTAGCAAAGAAGTCAAGATCTTCTCTAATGGAGTGGTGAACCCTAATTCTAGTCAGGTTTGTCATTTCACAGTCATTTAACTTTGCAGGACACTGAAACTTTCTGGGTCCTAATATCTTCATCTTTTAAAAATATTGATATTAATGCACTCTACATTATACATCTTATTTTTTTTTGTAAAAATTATAAGTACAAACAACTTTAATGAGTTTTTAATAGTTTTACTTCATTTTTCACATTTGACAGTATGCACTACTTCCCCCTTAAGCAGGAAACGTATACTTAAGGGTAAACACAATGGAGAACTTCAGCTGCAAACAAAGTATTCTATTATCTTTTTAAGTCAAGCTCTGATAATCAATGATAAAAAGAATCATGTTCCTGCCGGGTGCTGTGGCTCATGCCTGTAATCCTAATACTTTGGGAGGCCGAGGCAGGTGGATCACCTGAGGTCAGAAGTTTGAGGCCAGGCTGCCCATGGAGAAACCCCCTCTTTACTAAAAATACAAACATTAGCTGGGCGTGGTGGCAGGTGCCTGTAATCCCAGCTACTGGGGAGGCTGAAGCAGGAGATTCACTTGAACTCAAGAGGCGGAGGTTGCAGTGAGCCGAGATCACACCACCGCACTCCAGCCTGGGAGACAGAGTGAGATTCCATCTCAAGAAAATATATATAATAATAATAATATTCTACTGAAACAATACCATAAATACGACTGTTTAAATAATGATTCATTCAAACCTGAAATACATTGAAAATTCTACAACTAACACTCAATATTAAAATTCTAAAATGCACACAAATTTCAATTTTTAAAATATTTCTCTCTTTAGTATACAGTAAAATAACATATCTAGGCTGAGCGCGGTGGCTCATGCCTATAATCCAGCACTTTGGGAGGCCCAGGCTGGTGGATCACCTGAGGTTGGGAGTTCCAGACCAGCCTGACCAACGTGGAAAAACCTCGTCTCTACTAAAAATACAAAATTAGGAGAGCATGGTGGCACATGCCTGTAATCCCAGCTACTCGGGAGGCGGAGGCAGGATAATTGCTTGAACCCGGGAGGCAGAGGTTGCGGTGAGCCGAGATCGTGCTATTGCACTCCCATCTGGGCAACAAAAGCAAAACCCCGTCTCAAAAAAAAAAAAAAAAAGAAAAAAAGAAAAAATATATATCTAATTGCCGTTGTTTCTCTTTGAGGTATTAATTCTAGACAAAAGTTTTAGATCTACTTTTAACTTTTTCAAAGTTCTGCGCTAATTTCTATTTTTCTCCAAATAGGACATTTAAGTAGTGAAGAAATATTTTATGCATATAGTTAATAAAAAGAAAACTATGACTAACACACACACCAACATTTAGCATTTTTTAACATTAGCAATACGAAAAATGAATGGCCACCAACAACCAAGACCAAAATCCAGCAACTAAGATGTCTTTTGATATGTATACAAATAAACTGTAGTACATTTATGCAATGGAGATTATTCAATGATAAAAAGAAATGTGCTATGAAAGCCCAAAAAGGCATACAGAATCCTTATGTATTTCTAAGTGAAATAAGGCAGTCTAAAAAGCATTACATGCTGTATGATTCCAAATTTACAACATTCCCGAAAAGGAGAAACTATAGACAGAGTAAACATATCACTGGTTGTCTGAACTGGAGAAAGGAGAGAGAAATGGGTAGAGCATGGGGATTTTTCAGGCAGTGAAACTATTCTGTGTGATACTGTAATGGTGGAGAAATTATATACACTTTTCAAAATCCATATAACTGTACAACACAAGTAGCTGTAATGTAAAATACTGATTTTAATAATAATTTCTCAGTATTTGTTAATCAGTTTTTACCAGTGTACTACAATAATGTAAGATGTGAATAATGGGGATACTGTGTCAGGGAAACAGGGCTCTCTATACTTCCTGCCAATTTTCTGTACACCTTAAACTGCTCTAAAACTGAAATCTATTAATTTTATTTAAAAAACAGAAAATGACATTTTGATCCTTTTTTACTTCTTAATAAGTTTTAAAGTCATTAATAATTTGAAAAGATAAAATGCAGACAAATATTGTACTATAACTTGTGGGATCAAAAATAAACATTGCTTATATCACATAGGTTCACAATTAAATTATTCTATATCTCTATATTTGTAATCAAATGTCACATTTGTGGTGATTAAGGTTTTGGTTTTGGTTTGTTTAGTTAACTGGCTAATGATCCAGAAAGTCTATGGGCTAAGTTTTACTTTGTGTCTACATTTGGTAGAGAGCAGCAACCAAAATTTTCCATATGGTTTGATATATAAATAATTTTAAATAAAAGGCTACTTACCACTGTATTTGATCACACGAATTGTTGAATCTCCTTCACCAAATTTGGTGAGAGGAGTCAGTCGGACTTCATAAGCTTCTGGTTTAATTAGCTCTGTCAAGTTATATGTAATTAATTCTCCCTTTTGAATATTCCCATTTATTTTAATCTCCTGCTCCCACCAACGCTGCTGCCCAGCCTGAAATCAAAACAATAGTAGAATAATGTTCCCAGTATGTTCTTCAGAGGTACTAAGAAAACTGAAAGCACATTCTGAAATTTTATTACATTAAAATGTACATTATATTAACGAACACATATCATTAAAGTTCAAGTTTCTATAGTGAGACACAAATTTTGAGATGTTTGCATGCATATGTTTGCAGGTAATTGCCAAATGATCAAAGGTATTTAATAGATTTAATATATCAACTAATGTTTAGTAAGAGAAAATTCCAAAGTGTCTGTGATCTGGAAGTTGGGAGAGATCTAAGTTTAGCTACTCCTTGCTTAACATATTAATGGCATATGAGATTCTTGAATCCTTACAACTCTTTATCACATTAGCAAACATATGCATTGCATATATAACAGTTCCCATATATTCTGGGCAGTAGAAGTATAAAACAAAGACAAATCCGTAACTTTTCAAGTCTATTAAAAAGAGGCACAATAAACAAATGTATAATATAAAATTTCAATTAGTCATATGTACAATAAAGAAAAATAAAAAATCACAAGGGGATTAAGGGTCATAGTGGAAAGGCTGGAGAGGGGCACTCTTTTATCTAGTTAATCAGGACATCTCCATAAGAAGAATGTTGGGAAGTTAAGATGAAGGCTAGGAATTTACCGTGGGATTTGGCAAGATGGAAGCGATGGTCACCTTGAAATAAATGGTGTCAGAGTAATGACGATGAAAGGATGATTGTAGTATGTTAAAAGAAGAATGAGTTTCCCAATGCTTCCCTCACTAAAAAACCACAATGCTCAGATAATTTCACAGCACAGTTATCAAAATGTTCAGGAAACAATTTTAATCTTTTATAAAATCTTGCAGATATTTTTAAAAAGAAAAACAATAACTCTCCAGCTATATTATTTAATTTAAACCAAAAAGTAAGGATGGTACAAGAAAGAAAAATTATATGTATACAAACTAAATTCATAAAGTTTTAACATACAGTATTGTTTCCAAATTCATTATACAGTACTGTTACCAAATTCATCAAGTTTTACATCCAGTATTGTTTCTCTTGCAAGGATGCAAGAATTGCTTAACATTAGAAAGTATGTTAACATAGTTAACTGGTAAAAGAAGAAAAAACATATTTCTATTAGATGGAGAAAAATTTGGGAATCATCAACTCCTATTTGTAGTAAAACTATGAACAAGCTAGGAATGGAAGGGAACTTGATTAATCTGATAAAGAAGGTCCAACAAAAAGGTAAAGGATGCTCTATTTTTAATGCTTATATATTAGAATTTTTTTTAGAATTACAAGTGAGAAAGAATGTTCAACATAATCTATTTAAAATTGTACTTTAGTAACAATGAAGTGTATAATAATTGGAAAAACAAAACCAAAATAGATCTATAGAGCTGTCTACGTAGGAATCTATCTCTCTCCTTTTCTCTTGCTCTACCCTTCCATATGCATATACACATGAATGTCTTTTACAAGCACTTTGAAGTTTTCTTTATTAAATTTATGTATATAATTTATTATATTAGATAACAGGTAATCCACAGCTTTGTTTGCTATTGTAAATTGTCACTTTTAAGCTATTAATATTTTGCTGGCTTATACAATTGTGACAGATTTTTTATTCTCCTTACATTCAGAGAGAGATATATATATGTATATATAACTGTATTTGTTATATACATATGTATCTATACTATATAGTATAAGTATACATATGTATCTATATTTATACATATAGTATGCATCATTGCCTTGTAATATGTGTCTGATATTTTTCATAGTTGAAATCTATGGTATCCTCTTTAATGGGGCTTTTCTCCTTTTATTTGCTTGGTTATTTTTCATTGGGTGCTGATAATATGGGTTACAATTCTATTATTGGGGGTTATCTGTGGCTTATGACAAAGACATATTCTGTATAGATGTACTGTTGTTTCTGACATGCTCCTAAGGTCATCAACAATATGGTCTACTTTTACTTTGATTGTGAAACTCTTTGGTGTCACAAATTAGAGTGGAGAAGATCCCTTGTTTTCAGAAGGTCTTGAGTTTTCATTGCTGTCTGCCTCAATGGTGACAAACTATTAAGAATCAAAGTTCAAGTTTGTCTGGGTTGGCAACAGCTGAGGGCAAAAGTAGTTTGGGCAGAAATTCTATTTGTTACTTTGGAATGCCATTTTTCCTTGGATTTTTTACCTAGTACTTTCTCTCTCTCTGTATACACACATACACACGTACACACTATATGCACATGTACACACACATATACATATCATACAATATGCACATATGTTCACATATATGCACATACTGTATGTTCATAAATATTTGTTTTCTGAAGGTTAAGTTAGTCCTAATTATATAGTCTTGACTGCTACATTTCTGGAAATAAAAAAATACAATATGTGTGCTACTAGCACAGTCCTACACAAATGACAAATTAAATAATGGAATGGGACAGAAAGCCCAAATATAAAATCTATAGAGTATCTGCACAGTAGAGAGAAAAATATAAACTATTCTGTTGGTTATGTATATGGAAAAAAAACACTTGAATTGGAACCTTATATCTTATACATAAAATTCCGTCTCAGGATAATTAAACAATTAAATTTAAAACACAAAATTTAAATCATTTAAATTTAAATCATTAAATCATTTAGGAAAAATACAGAGAAAATGTTATGATCTCAGGTAATATATTTCTTTTTTTTCCTTTTCCTTTTTGTTTTTCTTTTTTTTCTACTTAGACAGAGTCTTGCCCTGTCACCCAGGCTGGAGTGCAATGGTGCTATCTCAGCTCACTGCAACCTCCGCTTCCAGGATTCAAGCAATTCTCCTGCCTCGGCCTCCTGAGTAGCTGTAATTACAGGGACCCATCACCATGCCTGGCTAATTTTTTGTATTTTTAGTAGAGACAGGGTTACACCAAGTTGGCCAGGCTGGTCTCAAACTCTTGACCTCAAGTAATCGCCCACCTTGGCCTCCCAAAGTGCTGGGATTACAGGCGTGAGTCACCATGCCTGGCCAATATATTGCTTTCTTAAACAGAACAGGGAAGGATGAATCATGAAGAAAAAGACTGATAAATTTGTCTATCAAATTTAAAATTAATTAAATATAAACTTTCAAGTTAAAAAATTTGTTCTCATCGGTATTCACCATTAACAGGAAAAATACAAGCCAGAGGTTTGAAGAAGATAGTATACACATGTTAATATGCACAATTAACCAGACTTTATTAAAAACTGATTTTAATAAACAAGGAAAAGAATTCAGTAGCAAATTCAGCCAAATAACAACAAGTAATTCATAGTCGAAGAAACCCAAATAAGTAACTAAAGAAGAGCCTCAGCCTCACAATGAATCAAGGAAACAGAGATTAAAACCACAATATTACTTTCTACCATCAGGTAGGCAAAAACTTTTTAAAAATTAACTATTAGGGCTTTGTATAGATGTAAAACAATGAGAATCTTTGTTCATGTCAGAACCAGGGGATTGGGGTGGGGAACAAATGAGATTTTTATCCTACATGTAATCTAACAAGTTAGCCTTGTTAGACTGGAGACTACTTGGGTCAAATGAAATGACTGACTCAGCATATATCCCAAGCTTTATTTTAGCATTGATCCTCCTTACCTCTGAAGTTCCACAGAAGTACTGCAGATGTGCCAAGGAGGACGCTGCACATGCCTTGATTGTGCATCACATCTGAAGGACTCTGAGTTTAAGAAACCTTAGTCTTTATAACTGATAGTAACCAAATGTGTCCAACCATTGCCCAAAAAGGAGACATCCTTATTATACAGGACATCAAACAAATCTCACCTCTGTTCTAGAGGAAGGCACTACATTCAAAAGACGTTTGCTATGCAAATGACTTGAAAAGATAGACTGTAATATAAGGGCAACTGCTGCCTCTGTACACAAGACACAAAGAAATATAAGAAAACCATGAAAAACGGAGGTTGCGTTATATTCTTGATGAAAATGCAAGTTGGTATAAGTTTAGAGAGTAATTTGGCAATAAAAGCCGTGTTACAATGAGAACAGGTAAATTTTTATACTTGGAAACAAATATATTCATGGCATAGAAAATGGAAAATGATCTATACCTCAATCGTTTAAGAGGTGATAATCAAATTGCAGACTCTTCATAAAATGGAATATAAAATATAGCATGAAAAAGGAACCTATTCCACATACATCAACATGGGTAAATTTCACAAAAGTAATATTGAACTAAAATTAATTTTGAAGTAGATATAAAATTTACTTTTAAACTGTGTATTTTAAAGAGGATGTATAGATACATATGCATTAAAGAATAAAGAAATTCAGAGAAATAATAAACACTGAGTTGAAGATACTGTTTAAATAGGTTAGGAGAGTGTCAAAAGAAGATGATGCAATTGTGTGGGATAAAGAAAGGACTTCAACTCTGCTGGGTGATTTCTGTTGTTTTGTTTTAGATTAATGGTAGATGTAAAAAATATGATTATGTTCTTTTGTGTAGGTCTGAAATGTTTCTCTGTTTTTAATAAAGAGAATTAGAGAATAAGAGAGAGAAGGAATTCTGAATTTTCTTAAAACTCTTTCTCCCTTGAATTCTATGACAGTGCTGTCTCTCATATTGCTTCCCACATGTGCATCTTTGACTACTCCTTATTTTCTTTTCCTGTGTTCTAAATGTTGATGTTCTCCAGAATTTTGTATATGGTGTTTTTGGTACTCTGTATTAGTGGTTCTCATATTTCCGCATGCATGAGAATCACCGGACGACACTGTTAACCAAAATTGTAAGTCTCAACTATCAGTAAGTATGGTTCAATGAGATCTAGAAATACAATCTTTGAAAAGCATCCCCTCTCCCACATAGTAATCTGTATACAAATAATCCAGAGGCTCCATTTGGTGAGGCACAGATTAGTCCTGCTAAACCACCTCATTACTATTAGTAGCTTCTTCTAATATCTCTACATTGATA